GCCTCTCAATCCGTCTGACCAATCGCTGCTCCTATGGCTCCGCCCCCCTGTGACGATTTTTGCATCACTGGCTCCAAAATCCAAGATGTCAACCAGGAAGTAGCAAAACCCTGGCTTCATTTTTTGTTGTTTTTTTTTTTAACAATTTTATTTTACAATTATGAGGAATGACAAATAGCATATCATTTATAAAAAGTGAAAGAACATAATGAACAGTCCAGGGGTTCAATAATTACAATGCTTACATTATAAAGTTCATACAAAATTAATTTCTTTAAGGATCTGAAAAGTTTTTGTTGCTTTGTTGGTCTTCACAAATTCAATTAAGGTGCAGTATTGATTCAGTTCAGCAATAAAACATTGAAAGCAGGGTTTTGTTTCAGTCCATTTTGATTTGTGTATGAGGAATTTACCTAGAATTATAAACAGTTGAATTACAAATGATACTTTAACAGATAAGCCTTCATGCATAAAATATAGCATAATATCAGACACCTTGAATTGTACATTAGTACACATTTTATGGTTTATATAGTCCATCATATTTGTCCAAAATAGTTTAGTGTGTTCACAGTGAACAAACAAGTGAAATATAGTTTGCTTTTCTGAATTACAGGATACACATGAATTATCTAAACTGAGTTTAAATCTCTCCATAACTTCTTTCACAGGATAGATTCTATGTAAAATATTAAAAGATACTTCTTTCACTTTGTTAACAATGCAATATTTATTGAGAACACAAAAAGCTTTTTTCCACTGTATATCGCCCATGATAGAACACCAAAAAAAATTTGCAGCAGAAGGTGTAGCATAATTAAGAATATTCCTTATATGTCGATTACTGCATGTTTTCTTTATAATGTCAAATTTGCCTGTCTAGAATTATATTTCTTTCCACTAGATTACAATGTCTCAAACACTGAATTACTCCATGGAATTGCATCCACGGTAATGGTATATTCTTTGGGAGAGATTGGTAATTTAAATTTATTTAGAAATTCTGAGTATGATAGAAGTAATCCATCTTTGTTTATTAATTGGGCAACTAAAAGGATCCCATTGTCATGCCATGAGCGATAAAACAGTGATTTATTCTTGTACAAAATATCTTTATTATTCCAGAAAAAGTACTTATGTGGACTGAAATTGTGTTTGTATGCCAGTGTCCAGGTTAACAGGGCTTGTCTGTGAAAATTGGCCAATTTCAGTGGGATTTTTCCAACTGAAAAGTTACATTTAAGTAAAAAATCAATACCAACTACAGTATTAAATATATATGCTGGGAAAGCATTCCAAATATTATTGGGGTTCTTCAAAAATTCTATAATCCATTTGATTTTAAATGTGTTATTCAAAACAGTAAAATCTACGGAAGCCGAGAGCGTTCGTTTTCCCGAGATAACGGGATAATTATCTCGTTTTCTCGAGAAAGCGAGATAATTATCCTGTTATCTCGGGAAAACGGCATTTAAAAAAATGTGCGGCCATGACCGCTCTCGGATTCCGTAGAGAAGCCGAGAGCCATTAGAAAACCATATATCTGTACCCCACTGACTTTTCCAGAAGCACTCATCAGATGAATTTGCATGGGTTTCTTGGAAAAAATAGAAGTCTGCACTTTTGCTTTTGCAGTACAAAAAAAGAGCTTTCCTTTTAAGTAAGTCTTGAATACCCCTGGTATTAACAGAAAAGATAGATAGAGACATCTGAACAAACAGATAACAGAATATTTGTATAGATTAAAGTTAAACTTTTGTAAAAGCTGTAGGGATCTCACATAAAATGGAACTTACAGTTGTACAACATGTTTTGAAATATAAATTTCTTACAACTACTAAATTAGTAAAGGATTTTGAACATCCTCATTTTTGGTGAACAGATATTAGTTAGTAGTCAGAATTTATCAGAACGTTGTTCGTGTATGGGTTGACTACCTTAGAATGAATGATCTATGGTTAAACTGGTTTCATTTCTCAGGTGAACTTCCTTGCCCTCGATGAGTGCCCTTCCTCCACTGAAGCACGCGCTTCTGCCCTCCTTTCTTGCCCTCTCCACTAGCGGCCACCGGCGGCTTCTTGCATCTCTGTCGCCAGCGGTCAGATGTCCCTTGAAGCTGTAACGGTGTTTTTTCAGAAAGTCATTTTGCTTGGCACTTTTCCAAGTCAGATCCCTCGCAGTTCTCGTTGCAAAGCGTATGATGATCGGGCGTGGCTTCACATTCTTGTCTTCTCCATCCTTCAGCCGTCCAAGGCGATGAACAATGTCAACTGCTGCAGCTACTTCATTCTTGCCCGGTTCTGGAACCACTGCACTGCAGATTTCTTGAAGACTTTTTTTTTACATTCTCTGTTCATTTTTCAGGCACCATCTCCGGCTGTATCTTTCTTGTTCATTGACACTTGCTTCCAAGTCAGCTATCTTTTTTTTCAACTTCACATTTTCATCTTTTAAAGCATCTCCCTCTTTTTTCAGTTCCATTACGTCTCTATGAATGGAGGTCAGAGCCTCACCAATATTTTCAATATCAGCAGAATTTTTTTAGCCATCTTTTCAAGCTGGTCTGCTCTTTCATTGATTTTTCCAGAGAGGATTTGAATTATGTTCTGCTGTACTTCAAGAAGAGTTGGTTCCACTGATTCGGCTGAGGGAGCATTCTTTGGTTTTTTGGCTGCTTGTTTTTTAGTTGGGGTGCCTGGACTGGACTCACATTCCCCTCCAGATAACGCCTTACATGCATATGAGGGAGTTTCACTGATCCTTCTTTTGTCTTTGGCGAGATCAGTTTCCATGTGCGTGACAATGTCTAGCAGCTCCTGATTTGACATTTTGGCTCGCAGTGCGAGCAGACTGAGATTTGTTGTATAAAAGTTCAGTTCTAGGTCTTAAACAGTTCACCATCAAAAAAAGAAGTAAGTCCGTTCCTTACAAAAACATAGAAAAACCTTTGGCTGTACAAACCGCGCTATAAAACGTGGAACTTTGCGAGAATCCCTGTCGCCAGACCTCCGCTGTTGAAACACCGTCCGCTCACAGCGCCATCTAGGCCCCGCTCTCCTGCTTCATGTTGTCAGAGCAGAAACCAACGGGTGACGTAGCTACGTCCATCTTTTACACAGGCTATGGCTAAAACAGATTTTTATCTGTTCTTGTTGTCAGTGGTTTGGACCGTTTGGATCGTTAAGCAACCAGCCAACACCAGAACATAAATAACAACACGACGTTAACCTTTCTGACATCCACCGTCTATTTAACAGTTAAAACGTGCATACAGCACAACAAAACCTAAAATAAACCTAAGAATAACGCAAAAAGACGCGTTACATTTTTACAAATAAGGCCTTTATAGAGTGTAGTCTAATAAATTATTTAGCTTAATATAGAAAAAAAAATCTCAGGACATCAACAATATTCTGAGCTGCCAAAATCAG